GTGGGAAGCCCGATGAAGAATCTTCTGCTAGCTTCTTTAAACAGATTGACTCCTCTCCTCTGGGAGGTGATTCAAGTGAGGTAAACCTGGGCAAGAACTACCATGGCAATCTCTCCCAGCCTCCAACTCCAAGTCCTCCTAAGCCTACGGGAGTATTTCAGACAAGCGCGAATAGTTCTTTCGAACCCGTGAGGTCGCACGGGGTTGGTGTGAAACCTGTGGAGATTGACCAGGCAAAGATGGTGGTTGAATTAAGAGAGAACCACTCAAACCAGAAGAATATCAAGAAGAGTACAGCTGGGCCAGCCGCGTCGCCAGGCAATCTTGAACAGCCCCCAGATAATCTGGAAACTATTTTCATGCCTCAGGTGCACCCACTGCCGCTCGCAGTCGCTGGTGAAGCTGGGAATATGTTGCACTCTGGACCCATTATGGAAAACATACAGTCAGTGTCTGAGAGAAGGTCTTCAACAAGAGCTCAGGGAGCAGTTAAGAAGTGTGATAGCCCAGCAACAACTTTGTGGGCTCATAATGAGTTACCAAATTTTGGGGGAAATGTTCTTCTAGCTCCTGCTGCTCCTGCAGTCTACGTACCTGCCAAACAAACTGTAGAAGTCATTCAGCCACCAGAAGAAGGCCTGTCTAGTCAGCAGCCAAGTAAACCAGGGACTATTGCTGTTCCACTTGCCCAGGATGGAAATATATCTTCTGAAAATCTTGAGAATCCTCCCAAAATGGGAGAAGAGGAGGCACTTCAGTCTCAGGCAAGTTCTGGTTATGCAAGTTTGTTGTCTTCTCCACCTACAGAGTCTTTGCAAAATCAGCCTATCCTGATTGCTCAGCCTAATCAAAGCTATACCTTGGCTCAGCCAATTAATTTTTCTATTTCTCTATCTAATCAGCTAAGCAGCAATGAAAACAATCAGCCAATGAAGGACTCTGGGCTTGGGGACAAGCCTGCAATGGGTCCCCAGACTTCACTTGCTGGTGGGATCACTTCTGGGGAAAATGTGCCGACACCTGTGATGCAAGTTGGATCTCTATTAGTTAATGCACTTCCAAGTACTAATCTTTTAAAACATAATTTATTACAAAGCCCTGTTAATTCCTCTGATACTGCTTCTAATCAGCCTGCAAACTTACTTATGAAAACTCCACTTAATTTAGCTCCAGAAGGGCAAAAGAATGTTAATATGGAAGGGTTTGCTCCTGAATTTGCTAGCAAGCCAGGGTCTCTCTCATCAATTTCTCCTGGGACCCATCTCCCTGGTGGAAGTGCAAGCACTCTCATCCCCCCTGTTAGTGCTCTAGCACAGGCTAGTAATGCTGCAAGTCATTCAGATGGCAAAGAAGAAGCTGCCGGAGTGCTCGACTTCACAGTGCCGCGGATGCCGGAGAAACACGGCGCAAGTAATTCTGTGCAGGGCCATCATCAGTCGCTTTTTGGCGGCCCGGTATATCCTCAACAGGCAGCTGGTAGTGCTGGTCAGGTGGGTCCTGAGATGGGTGACCAACACCGTTTCTATCAACAGGTGACAAAAGCCTCCCAGGCCGCATCAG